CCTTGAATAAATGAAATTATTTTGAATTGATACTTGTTTTTATAAACTTTTATGCATGTGACCGATTCAAATTAATTTTTCATTCTAGGTATGACTAGTGGGAAAGTTAGTTGTCTGGCAGATAGTGCAACCACGCATACTGTTTTGCGTGAATGCATCTATTTCACTAACTTCGTACCTAAGAATGCACCTCTGACAACCCTCTCAGGCCCATCCAACCTGATCGAAGGATACGGTAAGGCACGTATAATGTTGTCCAATGGTACAATCTTGACCATTGCTGAGACACTCTATTCTCCACGTTCCGGAAGAACGTTACTCAGTTTCAAGGACATTAGAGATAACAATTACCACGCTGAAACCCACGTAGAAAACGGAGTTGAAATTTCTGTGCGTAACTTCCTACGAATATGGCCAGAAGCGTATTCTAGAGAAGATGGAGCGTAACCCGAGTGGTCTGTATACTACGACCATACGCCCCATAGAATGCCACTATGTGGCCGGCTCTACCACAGGGACCGCGCACGAAATTACACTTTGGCATGATCGTTTGGGACATCCTGGACGAATAGCGATGCGCCGTATCCTCAAAACTTCACACGGGCATCCACTAACCCGAAGCTTAGGTTCGATCCATGAAATTGCATGTCAAACATGTTCTATGGGAAAGCTTATTACTAAGCCTTCTTATGACAAGATTCGTTCGAATCCTCCCATTTTTCTACAACGGATTCAGGGGGACATTTGTGGACCGATTCAACCTCCCTGCGGACCATTTAGATATTTTATGGTTTTGGTTGACGCTTCTACACGTTGGTCACACGTGTGCTTGTTGTCCACAAGGAACGCTGCATTCTCCAAACTATTGGCTCAGGTTATCAAGCTCAGGGCTCACCACCCTGATTATCCGATCAAATCTATTCGATTGGATAATGCTGGAGAATTCACATCTAAAACTTTTGATGACTATTGCATGTCGGTTGGGGTTGAAGTTGAACATCCTGTACCCCATGTTCACACCCAGAACGGCATGGCAGAGGCTTTCATTAAGCGTTTTCAAATGATTGCTCGATCGTTGGTCATACGTACCAAGCTCCCGATCGCTGCTTGGGGCCATGCAATATTGCACGCAGCAAAGTTGGTCCGCCTGAGGCCTGTTGCGACACAACCATTTAGTGCCCTTCAGTTGGTCACCGGATGCGAACCCGACATATCGCATCTGCGCGTTTTTGGTTGTGCGGTCTATGTGCCGATCTCGCCGCCCTTACGTACAAAAATGGGGCCTCAGCGAAGGATGGGAATCTATGTCGGATATGATTCTCCTTCGATTATTCGTTACTTAGAACCTTTGACAGGCGATCTGTTTACCGCTCGTTTCGCGGATTGTCACTTCTATGAGACAGTTTTTCCCGTCGTTAGGGGAGATAAGAACGTCAACGTTCCTAATGAACGACGCGAATTATCGTGGACGACTCCCACTTTGTCTCATTTAGATCCCCGCACCGCTCAGTCTGAAGCTGAAGTGCAGCGCATATTAGATCTCCAGAGCATAGCTCAGAGAGCATGCCAGATGCTTTCACCGATCTAGCGCGCGTGACAAGATCACATATTCCAGCTGCGAATACGCCTGCAAAGATGGATGTACCAAATGTATGACGGACTACGCTCCTGGAAGCCCGGGACGCCAATTCTGGTGATCCACGTACATTAGCGGCTAGCCAATCATCTGCCCCTACACAAAAGCGTGGCAGACCCCTTGGTTCAAAGGATTCACACCCCCGGAAGAGGAAAACCACGGCACAAGGTCCTGAAGAGCCTACCGTGAATCCGACTATCGCTTACTCATTTTACCCAACTCATGAGGAAATTCTAGATTATGGAAGCGTCCTTGAAGAGACGAATCCTCCTCCCGAGAATCGTGAGATTTCGGTCTATTATGCTAGCTTAGATGATGTGTGGCGTAGAAATGAGATGATTGTCGACGATGCATTAGCATTTGCAGTAGCTACTGAGATCATGTTGAGCGATGACATTGAACCGCGTTCCGTTGATGAATGTCGACGTAGAGCTGATTGGTCAAACTGGAAACAAGCAATCCAAGTCGAACTTGATTCACTTGCGAAACGTAAGGTGTTTGGACCTGTAGTTCCTACTCCTCCACATGTGAAGCCCGTTGGCTACAAGTGGGTTTTCGTTCGGAAGCGTAATGAGAAGAACGAAATTGTACGTTACAAAGCTCGTCTTGTAGCACAAGGTTTCTCACAACGCCCCGGGATTGACTATGACGAAACTTACTCACCCGTTATGGATGTGATTACTTTTCGATACCTTATCAGTTTGGTAGTTTCCGAAAAACTGGATATGCAACTGATGGACGTAGTAACCGCGTATCTCTATGGGGATCTTGATACGAAAATTTATATGAAAGTTCCCGAAGGACTTACATTGACTGGTTCAAATATTTCCAAACCCCGGAACACGCTCTCAATTCGGCTGAGGCGTTCACTATACGGTTTGAAACAATCCGGAAGAATGTGGTATAACCGTTTAAGTGAGTATTTGACTAGTCAGGGATATGTGAATAACGAACTATGCCCTTGTGTGTTCATTAAGAAGTCAAATTCCGGATTTGCGATTGTTGCAGTATATGTTGATGACATGAATCTCATCGGAACTCCTGAATAGCTCGCGAGAACTGCTTCGCACCTGAAGTCAGAATTTGAGATGAAAGATCTAGGTAAGACTCGATACTGTCTCGGTCTCGAGATAGAGCATTGTTCGGATGGAATCCTAGTACATCAATCGAACTACACCCAGAAGGTGTTGCGCCGTTTTAATGAGGATAAAGCGAAGCCTTCGAGTACTCCTATGGTCGTTCGTACGCTAGATGCAGAGCGAGATCCCTTCCGTCCGAAGGAGGATGATGAAGAGATTTTGGAGCCTGAAGTTCCTTATCTAAGTGCGATAGGCGCTTTATTGTACTTAGCTCAATGCACTAGACCCGACATCTCCTTCGCTGTTAATCTTTTGGCAAGATACAGCAATGCACCAACACGCAGACATTGGACTGGCGTGAAAGACATCTTCCGTTACCTTAAGGGTACTACGGATTTGGGCTTATTCTATCCCTACGAATCCTCGAGTGATGCCGCACCCTATGCTCATCGGGTTGATTCTCGCCATGTTGGTTATGCCGACGCTGGATACTTATCTGATCCGCACAAGGCGCGTTCTCAAACGGGTTATGTCTTTACCGTTGGAGGCACCGCAATATCTTGGAGGTCAACTAAACAGACCTTAGTTGCCACTTCGTCTAACCATGCTGAAATTCTCGCCTTACATGAAGCAACTCGGGAATGCTTTTGGTTGAGAGCAGTAGTGGGCCATATTCGAAGCTCCTGTGATCTTCATCCCGCCGTTAATGCCCCGACGACGATTTTTGAAGACAACGCAGCTTGCATCGAACAGCTCAAGAAGGGTTACATCAAAGGAGACAACACCAAGCATATTGCGCCGAAGTTCTTCTTTACACATCAACAACAAGAGCATCAGAAGATTGAAGTCACGCAAATCCGATCACAAGACAATCTGGCCGACCTCTTCACCAAATCACTACCGAAGGCGACGTTTCAGAAGCTTGTTCATGGAATTGGTATGCGTAAACTTTCTGAGTTGTAACTTTGCTATTTCTCTTTGGAATTATGTCAAACTCAGGGGGAGTATCTTCTAGATACTTGCTTGATCTTAATGTACTCTTTTTCCCTACGATTAGGAGCATTTTTCCCACTGGGTTTTTGCTACCTAACTAGGTTTTAACGAGGCACCCACCTTGGGCTGGTCATATCCCTGATGACGTCATGTAGACGTTTCTTTTGACTTTGCATTTCTCACGCATTTTTCCTTAGACTATGGATTTTGTCCCTACTTGGGTTTTTGCCATAGCCTTAGGGTTTTTTAGTGAGACTTACTACTTATGCAAGTTCCTACCTTATTGAGAATAAGCGTTGTTCCTTGGAATCAGTTCTGACGAGTCGACTTCCTCAACTTCTGCATGATGCTGAATCTACCTTGAGTATTTACCCACTCAAGGGGGAGTGTTGTAAACATTCCTAGTTTAAGTATGATTGTGTAAATCCTAGATAAGATTTGATTCTAGTTATCCTTTCCTATTACAACTTGTATTACTTGGAGGAGAAGAAATATCTTCTCTCCCTTTACTACTATAAATAAAGGCACAATGTAGGAGGGATAACAACACACACATTCCCCTACAATTCTACAAACACACATCTCTCTCCTCTCTCTCTCTGCCGCCGACCCTAGTCCCTCTGTCAGATAAAATAGACCACAACAAAAAGTGAGTTTTTAAACTTAAACTCACTCCTTTCTTTTCTCTCCCTCCTCCCCCTCACTCCAAATCTCTCTCTCTCTCTTTTCTTCTTTCTCTCTCCTTTTTTTTACCTTTTTCGTCTCTCCTCCAATCCGTTCTCTTCATTTTATCGGTTCTTTCTCTCACTACTCATCCTCTCTATCTCATCCGATACTTTCTCTTCTCTTTCCTTCAATTATCTTTTACTTTCTTTCCTCCTCTTTCATCTTTCTCCCCCTCCAGTGACCTCCTCTTTTTAGATCTATTTGTTTAGTTTAAATCGCAAACCAATCAAATTTTTGAATCTTAAAGAAAATTGTTTTCAAGAATATTCTTAAGAAATGTTTTGAGAAATAATAAAAAATTTCAAATAAGATACCAAACAGGCTCTGAGCTTTCTTGGTGGTTGTTGACGAATCCACTCCAACCACCGACTTATTAGTTATTACTTCACAAATTCTTTCTTCCACATTTACTTTCAATTGTTCAACCACGCCGTACTAAATTTCAACGATCCAAACTGTCTAAGTTTTAGATTTCTAAACATCATCTTTGCAAAAAAGTATAAAACTCCGAAGTCGTTTGACCATCTGGTTATCTCTGTGAACATATAGTTCATTTAGAACATATATTTTATATGATCCAAAAACAAAAGTCATCTTCCCATAAATAATGTATCAAAAACAAGAGCTATCAATGAAATGTTATCGAACAAGAAACAAAGAATGCAGAGTTCTTCAGTTCATATTATTTTCTAAACTTATCACCCCTCCCTATTTTTTTTTTTCGTACTTTTGCCGAAAACAAATCAACTTCTGAAACTAGCTACTACCACCACTACATTGTACCAGTTTCTATAACTTGTTTACTCGTCAATGGAAGGACGCGCTGTGTTGGGCAGTCTCCGACCACGAACAAATGCACTGAAGAGGTGCAGTGCTCTTGAAGGTTGAGCATAGGGCACCATATGAGCAGCCCCCCTTACCGTGGCAAACGTCAACAGATTTCCGTACTCTGTAGCCCAACCGCCCACCTATTCGTAAAACATGTACAGACATTCATAAGCAATGTTGAAGAGAGACAAACTGTCAAACTTGAACAGCATTACTGAAGGAAGCGCATAAGCACCTGGCCTTTGTGAAACCAAGCTCCGTATGGGACTGTTATCGGGAACTTTAGGTCGTGTGCTAGTTCACGCACCAGTGTCCGAGAGCCCAATAATGGTACAACGGAATCTTGATCCCCACTGCATTCGGTTGAAAATCATGTTATGTAGCAACACTAAAAAGTTAAGAGTAGTTTATATTCAACTTAGCCCCTTGTACATAATAAGCATAACGAATTACCTGAAAACCCAAACGGGTATACGGTTTTGAACTATCCTTGTGAGCAAGGGAAGGATGTTAATGCTACCATCTGTATCGCTGTAATTAAGAATGCTGTACAATACAAAATAAAAAATAAAAAAAGAACATCAGTCATATGTAATAAACGAGTATAGACTACAGATAAGTCACCAGATTCTACTGATGTATAAGAAAGGTTATATTCACTTACCGACTGCACATACTCCATGGATAAGGCAAGTTTGTACGATTTGCATGAAGGGCTTTCTGAACTTCGGGAAGGTTCAAATAAAAACGTCTTTCAAACGTCATACATACATCAACTCCAACACTTATCTTAGTAGCCTGCAGAAAAGCGGAGTAAAGGAAAAACTCGTTGAAATAATGAAATAACAAGTTGCTGTAATGAGAATGAAAGATGAACAAGAAAAACCCATACTAAACAAAAAAGAAGTATAGAGGATACCATTTTCCGCAGTCTCAACTCTTGCTCCACTATAGATGGATAACAAACATCAAGAATCACGTCGTAATTGTTTATGTACTCACCAACTATCTGATTGGCTTGAGATATTGCTTTGTTGCATTGATGGCTTACATTGTGAGGATTTCCCAAGACATAATCGTCAAAATCGCATTCGTTCATGATAGTAAGGCCAGTTTCATCAGAAATCATTCCATGAGACCAAAAATATTCATATGTTGCCGGAGCATCACGATCAAGTCTCAGCAGTGGATTCCCAAGCTGACAGATAACAAATAGAAAAGTTAAAAGAGGAAGTGACAACTATAGAGATAGATGAAAGCAAGGAATTCAAAAATATGTGCGGTCTTCTTACAGCAACCCCTTTGAGATTGAACTTGAAACCAGTTGATTGTTTATTATGGTCCAAAATGGCAATAGCTAATTGCGGTATGTAGTGCCCTGTACAGTAAAAGTACAGATGGTAAGAACCGATTCTAAATGATAAGTCATGTAGATAGATGTGCGAAAAAAAGAGTAGAAAATAAAAGAACAACTGCAACGATTATATTTAGAAAAAGGTTTGAATATATTGTAAGAGTTCCATTTCCTAGTACTCCATAATAGAATTGACATTATATCGGACTTTGCAGACCTGCATAGCTTTCTCCGGTAAGAAACAACTCTCGGGATCTGAAAGTTGGAAACTTTTCATACCATTTCATCAAGAATGTGTGCATATCCCTTGCTGCCAAAATCAAATGAAAGTGAAAAAAAAAGTTGCCGTTAAGCTTGGCTGCCAAGTTTTATCAGAAATAACCAAAAGCAAACATATAGAACAAGCACACCCTTAAATGAGTGTAAAGAAAAGGAAGCGGAATTAGCTATTCACTATACCAGTTGAGGCATCCCCAGAGTCATAATCCGAACTTGTATTCGAGTATGACCATCCTACTCCAGCAGGAGACTCAACAAAAAGGAGATTTGATGCTACAAGAGAAAAGCAAATGGTACACCATTTAGATAGGATTCCGATTAATAGCTGAACAGTGACACTCCGAAAAGAAGAAAAGTTGACATGTTCGTAAATGTTCCATACGGATATACCTCTGTTCCATGACATTGGATTTCTCCGGAGGCCTCTGCCGTCACCTGTTGGATAAAATGGACCCAGCTCGGTAAAGGCACCTCCGCCAACGGAGGAACAACCTGGACCTGAACAAAAAGTTGATCAGCGAATGTTATCAACTATTTGGTGTTTAAGACCTCACTTTCAAGAGAATAGTAAAAGCTACAAACATTGAGATAAAATTTCAATATGCAGAAAAGGGCAGTGTATACATAACAAGTTCTTTAAACAAGCAACCATATTCAACTAGTTTACAACAAATGCAAAAAAAATACTAATAGAAAAAAATGCAGAAGATTTGAATAAAAGTCCAGCTGAACACAAAGGATTATCAAAACCTTTGATTCATTATTACAAATAACATGAAAGTAGCTGTTAAATACACCCATGAATAACACAACAGTATTTAACTAATATTTACAATTTGCTCTCAAGAAACCCAGAAAAAGGGTGAGAGGTTACCTCCATTGAGCCAAAGAGTGAGGGGCTTCTTGTCAGGCTGCTCATCTGCTTCAACAAAGTAGTAAAACAAGCTCCTCCCAGCTTTCACATCCACATCAACATACCCAGCATACTGCTTGAACCCAACACTTGGCTGACCAGGCAGGCTCACCACCAGATCCTCAGCTGGGTATCCCTCCACTGCACCCAGCAGCACCAACCACACACACTCCAACACAATCAAAACCCCACTAAACCAACACCTACACATCTCCTGAAATCCCAAAATACTTCAGAAATTCCAGTCCTTTTTCAATTCCTAGTCAATTCTCTCTTACCAATGTGTGGGTGCTTGTGTATATATGTTATAATCTGTATGACATTTGCACTCACATACAGATTATACAGCCTCACTCACTCAAAAGCATGTTTCTTTTTTTGCGAAGGAGAAGAAAATGGTTACCCAAAAAGAGATAAGGAGTATATACAGTGTGCATGTATTATCCTTATCATAATAAAAGTACCAACTTTATATTTATGACAGGAAACGTGAAATCTGGGCTGCTTTAACAGAGAGATGCGTGTGTGTGTGCATATATAATTAATGGTAAATGCCAGATCTGATTTATGAGGATTTGGTATAATACATAAATATAAATGCAGCCTCTCAGGAATCGAATGGAGAGAAAGAGACGTTAAGGAAGGTGCAGGGAAAGCGAAGTCGGGTTGTTTAGTGTGCTTTGCAGGAGTTGCAGTCATACTTATGAGAGTTTTTTAGAGAGAGAGAGAGAGAGAGAGAGACGTTGGGAAGAGTGGCATATTGGCATACATAGTAATAATCGCATTGGCATTTTCGAATTTTGATAAGATAAAACTAAGCAACACAGATCACACCTACACTGTCAAACACCTCCACATCTTATCTGGCCTTCATTGATCTCCTTTGGCCAAATTTCCATTATTTGCAAATCACACAACCCAACACATGTACAAATTAACTCATTTCTTACAAGGGAATATTTATGTTTGTCTACTAATTAGTGTAACTGTTATAATCGTTAAGCATCGATTTTTCAAATGAATAGGTCAGTTATTCTTCAATTGATGGCAGTTGATTCTTCCTATTGAATTAAGTGTATTATTAGGCTAGTGTTATTTACACACTTACTTCTCACAATACCCCTCTCCATTTTCGGTCATTGGAATGAATTTAAAAAGATCAAAGGACAAAAAATGATAAGGGTGTGTGAGAAATAAAAATAAGCGTGTGAGTAGCACTATCTTTTGTGTAATTTGCCATGATAGTTACACTATTATATAAAGGTGGATATGTCTCACATTGTAACACACTAAGAAATTCTCTAATAAGAATTTTCTCACTCTCTCAAATTATTTTCCTCTACAAAATTATTTAAATTATAAAAAAAAAAAACTTTTACGCACATATTTAGTTATAATTTACTTGTTCTTTTTTTTTTCCAGCGATACTCTATACTAATATACACTAAGCCTACTTCGGTAAGTGGGTAAGAAAGCTTGGTGTTGTCTTCTCCATGTTTGGTAAGTGTAGGCTTGGGAAATGATTTTTTGATTCAGGGAAAAATGGAAAATAGGGGGAATGTAAAACCCTCCATCCCCTTGGCATTCCCTTCCCTCCTTCATGGGAAACCAAAAAAACGCAGATTGTCATTTTTTATGACATTGACATTATAAAATGCCCATTATATCCTTAAGAGTAGTATTTTCTACCCAATTTCTCATTGTTAGCAAACATAGCTGGAAATGGAAATTATTTCCAATAAATTTCTTTTCATATACCAAACGCAACGAAAGTAGAGGGAGAGAGTTTAAATTTGAGATGCAGTCAGGTGAAGAGAAAGATCCTAATTATCAAGCAATTCACTTGTAATTATAATCTTAGTGGAGAACGATTCCTATTATTTATAAGGAGTCAAGTTTTCAAATTGTAGTTATGGCAAACCCTTGTGTACTTGCCATTCTTTTTCATTTTATCATTGAAGTAGCTTTAAAATTGGACATAACATCGAAATAGTTTAGCAATATAATCAACATAATTTCACTCACAAATCAATCAATCTGACTGAAATAGTTAAAAAAGTACGTTATACCAAACCAGACCAATAATACTACTTAATCGCATGAAAAATAGGGTAAAAGTAAAACTAACATGGTTCATCGTGAGGGAGTTTAGGACAATGACCCATGAGTGATTTCATTGGACAAAAAATTCATGGTTTGAAGAGATTTTTCAGTGTGATCGGTGCACGGGGTAGTACACCACGTGTCACTATACAATTGATGAGATATGTGTGCTAAAAAATTAATAACTTAAAAAATAAAATTTATCACCATTCCTATTAAAACACGTGGTGTACCATTTGTTTTCCCGTCAGAATGAAAAATTGAGTCTCTTTTGTGGTTAAAATAAGCATGGAAAGAAGACAACGTTGCCGCCATCACTGTCCAGCCGTTTGCTCTCCCTCACGGTCATATTCTACTTTACTACTTTGCTTTACAGCCGACATGAATATATATTTTATTCATAAAGAAATACAAAAAATTATTATCATTTTATTTTATATAATATAACCCATACTCGTGGGGCTCAATTTGAAAGAGCCAAACTTGGTCATTCTCAATTCTAAATTAATACTTTAATTGGGGTCTGAAAATAAAAACATAAACAAACAAAATTAATCATATTAAGATAATGCAGTTTAAAGTGAAGTTTGACTACTTAATATATTGTTTAGCAGTAACATGCAGTTACGTGCATGTACGTTCCCTAATTGGAGGAACTCATTAGGACTTTTCATTTTTATATTCTTTTTTATTCCACCTTATAAAAACGTTATCGAGGTCGAATCAAAACCTCGAAAATAAAATGAAAGCTTTTTAATAGTGTGAATTTTATTCCGTTTTGAGAGTTGCTATGATACTTGAAAATGATCATTTTACACTTTTCTAAGTACATTTTATTTTTATATTTGTTGATGCACAAAATCGGAGATCTTGGAAAACGTAAATCTGACCGTGAATCTGAAAGAAATGTAAATAACACAAGATGTATCGTGGTTCATCCCAAGGTTTGAGTTACGTCCATACTAATATGTATTTCTCTGAGAGTATTGTGAGAGAGAGAGAGCTCTAAATATGAGAGTGAGAGCTTTAAGAGGATGAGGGAGGTTAAGGCCTAAGAGTTGGCCTACCCTAATTGTGAGGGTGAGGAGTCCTTTTATAGAATAAGGGCTCCTCACTTATTACATATTTATTCATTCCTTTATTACATAATTACATTTAAATCTCCCTGAGTATTTGTACGAGATCTAAATACGGAGGCCCTAAGTATGGTATAAACAATATTTTTACGCGTTTGAATTTTCAAGTACAAGATGACATTTTTTAGTACTAAGCTCGTCTCTCCTCACTTTAAGATTTTGTGCTCAACGTCTCTCTCTCAAATACTTTGAGATTTTGTGTGTAATTTCTTCCCCCCCCCCTTGTAATATAAGTTTTTTTAACTATTTTTCGTTTGATTATCAATACTATTACTGAGCTGAAACCTGCTCTGTACAAATGTTAACCATAAGAAAAACGAAGAGGAAAAACAAAAAATACAAGAAAGAAAGACATAAAATCTGACCCTCGTGACAGAAGAATTTGACCACTATAGAAACAAGTGAGAATATATGACATCAAACAAACCTACCCCAGGTGAGAAAATTGGAAACAATAAGTTAAACAAGGAGAGTGGCGCTAGTAGAGTAGACAGGTAGACTAGCATCTTCCAAAAGATGCGAGTACAAGATAATAATGTGTACAAGGAAGAGTTAGAGAACTGAATTGGCCATTGGATTTGGAAACTCACCTCTACTTGTATTTTCATGTTTCTACTCTACAAAATGGCAATTCCACTACCTAAGTTTTAGGGTGCTCCGTAGTACGGGATATTTAAGTGTTTTAATTATTAGATCTTAATTTTGCATTTTTAAACAAAAATCTAACTGTTAAAACATTTAGAATATTGAATACTCCGACATAATTGTACAAATACTTCAATACCATCACCTGTTGTACTTGTAGAGCATCAAAGGAAGAAGAAAGTCAAACAAAAGAAAAAGGACGTAAGTAGGCTCTGACGAATAGCTCGCTGACCCCTATTTTTGCGCGGGTGGCTCGCTTAACCCCATTTTCCGCTCATCTAGTTTGTTCGTGGATCCTTCCTCCTGTTGATGGTGGAATATCGGCATATCGGCGATGGTGGCGTAGCTGGTGTGGTGGAGTCTTCATTCTTCCAGATGTAATATTTTTGTTGTTCTGAGCTTGCTCTTTTTAGGCTTTTCTGTTTTATTTATTTTTGGATTATACTTGTATTTGGATTGCCTTTGGACTTTCTATTTCTTGTATTAGTTTTTGTTTTTTAATTAATGAAGGTAATCTAATTTGACAAAAAAAAAAAAGGCAATGGATGTTTCTTTTATACCAAAATAAGGAAAGCATTTTAGGATCAAATAACTGCCTTTGTTTCATTAGGGTTTAGGATCAAATAATTGAGATTCATAGCAGTGCCCTGTCCACAGTAATATCTCCTTCCTCTATTTGCTATTTCAAACACAAATTGGCATACGACTGGAAAGCAGGACAAATTGGAGATCATAACAAAGAATTCAAAGAAAAATAACATAAAGATTTGACGATATGTAAGCAATGTAAATCACTTTCGCCTAAGAATGGCCATGCATTAATCATGAAAACTTTGGAAAATAAGAGCTTAATTAGGTAAAGATCAATATCAATGAGAACTTTGTGGAACTTCTAGGGTATCCATCGGGGAACATGAAATACACAAGAAAACTCGAGTTATGCAACCTAACCACGCGCTAGATTAGACTACTCTCACAAAAGCATGAGACCCTTTAGGGTTTTGGTCTCACCAAGTGTGGAAGTTGCCTTAATTAGCCATATGCACGTACCTTAAGTTTCTCTCAAAACTCACAATTCATTGTCATAACATGTTTTTAATCCCCACTTAAGCTTCCTATTCGTCGCTCTTGTTGACCTAAACACCACGGCAAGATATAATAAGGGAGCTGTTATTAACACTCCAAATGAAGAGTGCAGAATGACTTTTTTCAAGTGTCAATAACAGCTCCCCATTAAAGGCTGGATAACTTTACTATCACTCCTCTACTTTGCTACTTGCTTTTCAAAATGGATATTTTCTAATTTCTATGTGCTCAAAATATGGAGTTTAAGAAGCCAAAGAATAGCGCAAAAACGATAGGCATAAATAAGCAATCACGGTTTTTATACTCTTCCACAAGCATTCAAACAATAAAAACCTCAACCATAATATCTTATATACTATCAAAACTAGGGCTGCGAAACCAAAATAAAACAACTGTTAAAAAGCTCTTCGAGATTGTTTCGTATCCTTCTTGGATTCAATTTTAATGTGGCTACATTTACTATTTTTTAAAACCAAAAATTGGATCTAAGAAGAATATCAAACAAGTCCAAAGCTACTCGCTTATGCGCTAATATGCAACCAATAGACAGAAGAAGATAGATTTCGTTACAAATGTAAGCTCAAAATGTCCAGAAAAAGGAACGAAGAGCAAAGATGGCTACTTGAGAAAATGATCTTTTTTCTCTGTATTATTCTTATTTAGCTACTACAACACCATTAGATAGCAACAGACATTCAACTGACGTTGACACCTTGTCACACCAACATTAGATAATAGACGGC